ATTGGGCGAATAGGCGAGTATACGTATCGGGAAGAACAATCGAACACTGAAAGTCAGTCAATTCCCATTCAGTCCTTTGTCGCCGAGTCTTCAGTATAGTGGATAAACGTGATTTCACTGCTTCCCTAGCGCGGGCTTCGCATTGTGATATTGCTGATCGCGTTACCACTCAGCGCTCAACTGGCGTATGCAGAAGCTCTGAAGTAGATTGAGGATTTCATTTTTTTACTGTGATTTTCAGGTACCCCACAATGGGCTCAGGGCAGTCTTCTCAGGCCCAGCAAGTGAGTTTCTCTTCCGAACATTCTTGCTGAATAATCAGGCTTCTTTCTCAAGATAGGTCTAAGTCTTGAAGCAGTGACCAGGTCTCCTGGTGCATGTAGTACTAACTAGTACATTTGAAATGCGCTTCCAGGTTCGCACCTCAGAATGTCCTAAGACATTGCTGACATGGTTGGAACTGTGTTCACGTCTGAAGCGGAAAGGCTGAGGCATGCCCGTAGATCTATGGCTGCTGTAGGTTCGTTTCCAATTTCCAATTCATTTTTTTGTCCTCAAGTAATGGAAATTAAAGGGTGGTAATCTTGGTCAATTCACTTCCTAACGCTGCTCCAGTAGATTCGGGAACTTAGTGTTGGAAAATGCCAAAACATCTATCTGAACCTAATTTTGAATTTGGCTAGATGCGCTAGCAAGCCGCCCGTGTATGGGTAGCCTCGGAAAGTTTAATGATGTTGCTTAGGTCCAGTCGGTGCTTCGCGCCGAAATGTGCTGCCTTTCTGGAACAGCATCTATTCATTTTTCGCAGTGATCAGCTCTGAAAATCTCTTATCTGTTTGAGGAGGAGATCAAGGAGAATGCCCAAAGTCTGGTGGAGGATGTCCCGTGAATGCCGATGGAGGAGTCAATCCTTTAAATAATGTGAGTCATGTTTCTTTATGTCCACTACCCAAATATTTTAGAACGCTTGTTGGGTTTTCTTGCGTTTCTGCTTCTGTTACTTCTGTTTTATTGAAAAGTTTGATTAGCTTCACGTAAGAGCACAGTCAGCAGTTCAATTGACCAGCTCAACATAAAGGTCGCCCCGCGTTCTGAGCTGTGCGGGTCAAATTCTAATGGCATGGTTGTAAATGAGCCAAAAGTGAAGGATAAGGTAGAAAAAACGCACATGAACATGTTCCATGTAGCGCCATGTACCGTCATGCTGAGCCGCGCTTGTAAGTGCAGAAGGCGAAGAAAGGGCAGGGTCGGGAAAGTTCTGACTTGTTGGTGTCAGCTTCTTCCCCTTGTCACCTCGCCATTGAAAACGGAGAGAGCTAGCTGCGGAACAACCTACCACCAGTATTTCTTCAGAAATAAATGTTGGGTGTTGCCGTGGCCAGTCTGCAGAGCTGTGTTTGCGTCGCAAGTGGACGGCGCTTTCCTCACGCATTTCTGAGCTGTGAAAAGCGCATCCTCCATGCAGGACTACTATGCCCCAAAAAGGCGCTTGAACATCAAAAGAATGTGGAGCTTGCTCTTGAGGGGTCCCGGTGCTCTACTCACGTTGAACTGTATTTTTGCGCATGAGTTTTGAAGGGAGTAGTGGGTTTATTTAAGCTGTTTCTTGTTGTTGAGAGCCGGATTTTCGCTCCGAATTTTTAGTTTGTCGGGGTGGGGGTACACATAGTTGGGAAAAGGAGGTGTTTTTCGTGCTCATTTTGAAAATTGTGTGCTTTGAAGCCAATGCTTACGGTTCTCAGACTTTAATCGAACATATAGAGTTGTATAAGCTTTTCTTTCTTTTGAGAGTTCCCTCGGACTGAAGGAATATACCCCCTTTCGTAGCCTAGTGTTACTTTTCATTAGTTATTATTATGATAGACGAGTGTACCTTGTGTGCCAGCATGCATAATTTTGGTCCCTGCACTAAGAAGATAAGGTAAGGTTAAAGATAAAGTTTGCGTTTCAGGAACTGGAGCACCCAAACCAGAAGCCAGCGCCTGATCAACCGTTTCCTTTACCGTTGAAACGTGAAAAGTCGACGATTCCCAAGGTGAGTCTTGCCGTCTTGGTTTGGAGCAATTGAGCAGAAAGCTGTAGAGCAATTCTATCCAGAATTGATTTTGGTGGTCAGTACATTGCGTATCGCTATACAGTGAGCATCCCGGGTTAATCTTCACCCTTTTACGCTAGTAACAGCATATTCCGTCCATTTTGTCAATCTCGTTTGCTTTGCAGTTCTCCTGGTCCAAAAATATGTTCTCACTGCTCTAGAACATGAAATAAATTCTAAATGAAGAACATGAAACGCCCAGAAAGGAACTGCATGGCTGCGCATGTGTGTCATGAAGTCCGCGATATGATGACATGGATTCAGTACATTTTCGATACTACAATGATACATACTTCCTGAGTATTTAGGCGGGAACAAATGACACTTGGACGTATCCCAGTCCACAAATGTTTTGGAATGCTATGTTAAAGTGAGTTCAAAAGCTTATTTTTCAAGTAAAAATGTGGTTCACCCTTTCAAATTTCAATTTTCCTTCTCTCTGTGTTGAAACGTTCAAACTGTAGGAAGTATTTATGTAGATAAAAGGCCATCTGTATAACAAAGACAATTCAGGAAAGGGTGGCGATGGCAGGAGGATCAGTTAACCCAGAAAGACATGGAGAACATTATTCTTATTCATAACGCTAATAATGAAGAATATAAAAAAAATTAAAAAAAAAAAAAATAACGCTAATAATGAAGAGGCATGGCGAGAAGTGCTGAAGTGGGAGAATCTCTTACATCCGTGAGTTTTTTAATTGAAAATTCTCATTAGTTCTGTTTCGAGCGGTCTTCAAAAATTTAGTGGAGCGACTTGGGCACTAGTAACCTCCGAGGGAGGAATAATTGAAGGGGTCGTCGTGCAAAACATACCGCCATACTATAGGAATCTCCGTAATTTGACCTTACCTGGAACAGGAGCGCCGCATTCTCAATGCCCCTTCGAATGCGCTCGTGCTTTCCGTTTTGATCGCGCGCTCTAGTCCGTGACACTCCACCGCTAATCAGTGGACCGCCGCGTGTGGTACAGAGCAGCGTTCGACTCTATCATTGTTTCCTTTTTCTTTCCCTTTACCTCCACGATTTCACCGAAGTGTGGCATCATATTCAATTGACAGAAGAAGCCAGCGAAAGCGCGAAATGCCTCCTCTAAGTCGAACCGCGCCTCAACGAGTTTATACCACAGTTGCGTTCTTCTACTGTGGCGGACATCTTTTTACGCTAATTTGTATTCGTCACTGATTTTTTTATGACAGGTTAACTAGAACGAGAAACTGGACAAAAGATAATATATTTCTGTAGGGTTGGACGAGCCCTTGTAGCGGTGCACTGAATAATGGTGACGATTCGAGGAGTATGAACGCACCTTTCCTCTTTTAGACCTAGGCGAGATAGTCATCTCTATTACGGTAATGCTAGCTCTGCGCAAAGAGTTCCACATGCTTCCCCCTTCCCTGTTAGCTCCTTTTTGCTCGTCAAGAAATTCGAAATTTATTGTGACAATATTAACAGGCATTTTTCAACACACCTTTCAGTGAGTGTGCCGAGCCAAAGTTGAAGAGTTTTAAAGGAGACGCGAAGAATATATCACCTCGCGCTCGATTCCGTAATTTGTTCCTGGGCTATAATCTGCCATTTGATCGACATGATTGGATAGTTGATAGATGTGGAGTAAAGGAGGTTTGTTGCCATCTATTTCATCATGTTTGCTCTGATGTTAGAATCAATGATGACAATAAGTTCACTTCAGGTACAATACGTTATCGATTATTACGATGGTGGTTCAGTAGATCCTCGTTCGAAATTGTTCACGATTCTGGATGTGAGACCGGCGTTAAATGATTTCGGGAATATTTGGGATAGAATGGTAAGAAAGACTCATGTTTTTCTTCCGTAGTTTATCATGGCTTTTGAATTTTCGAAGACCAGTGCTTTGTAAAGCAGTTCTTTCATCATTTTCTGCGCGAATTCCCCGACCTTCTCATTGGTCAGCTCTTATAATTACACTGTTTTCTGGGGTATAGGCCGCACCAAACCACGACTGTTTCTTTTTGTGGCTTTGCTTTCGCTTGTTCATTTGTTTGATTAGTGAGAGTATATATTGAATATTGATAGTATACATATTGAACAGGATACGTTGGGAAAACAATTGAAATATCTGACTTTACCGAAAATTCGTGCGCGTTACCGCGAACGTCTTCGCACCCATGCCAATGAACAGGCCTTATGTTTCGAAAAGATTGTACTTCTTGGTGTAATTTTTTAAAGCTGTTTGTCTTCAGGTCGTTGCCTATTGGCGTTTCAAATTTGACGTTTTGGGAATGACACCAAAATTACCTATTCCTCCAACAGAAGATGATGTACACGCTTGAGGGTTTGTTTAATTCTCGATCAAAACTTTTTTGATTCGTTTATCTTTTCGCAGAAACTTTCCTAGAATCTGGGGGGCTACGTTATTTCCGGATGGTGGGGAGGGGTGGTATGTGGCAAGGCAATCGCAATCCCCGTGCTAGTGGGCGTCGCATGTAAATGACAATGCTTCCAAGTCATAAATGAAGGCAATAGGGAGTATATAGCCAAAATCGGCTTAAATCTCTACGACATCCTAGTCTACATAAAATCGGGTGCTACAATCGATAGACTAAAGGTATTCAAGAAAACGTCACGCTTTCGCTGCTCGCGGCAAAGCGGCAAATTACGATTGTCTGGGCCGTCTCCGGCAGTGTTCAGACCTCGCGACGGCGGCGCTTTGTCGCGCGTTCGACGCGATCGATGCAGTCAAAAGCATGCGCATCGATCGCGTTGAACGCGCGACTAAAGCGCTGCCGTCGCGAAGTCTAAACGCTGCCTCCGGCGGGGCGCGTTTTGGCGCAACCAGGTCACTTCCTCTCCACCAGATGAGTGATCTTCCCTTTCTGCCGCTTCAGCTTTACTGTAGAAAAGTGCACACACAATCAAAACCCGTTTTCTTCTGCGTGCCCCTCCCCTCCCCTTTCTTTCATTTGTAGTAGCGCCGGATTTTGTTATGTTTGGTTTACAACAACACTACTTTATTTCTGTTCCCCTTTATGGTATTCAGATTCAGATACGTCGCTTTTATCGCTGCTGTTCAACGCCTGCAATCTGGTCTGATGATGGTCTTTTACCTCGAATACTGGCTCAGAGGTGTGCTCCAGACAGAGGCAAAGTGTCTTTATCCCCACTGTTACCCACTCAAGGTACCATGCTCAATCAACTCGTTATAGTGTAGAAGTAGAGGTCCCATAGATTTCTTATGTAGAGTTTTTGTAAATGTTTCCATTTTTCGGTGATGCCTTTGTTGAATACCAGTCGTCCGTTTTAGTCGTTTCGCTCGAGTGCGCCACAGTAGTTTTCATCTAGTTCCCTGTAGTACTATATAAAGTTAGAGTCGTACTACTCATTAGGATAGCCAGATTTGTTCTGTTAAAAAATCTGTTGTTTTCCAGGCGCAGTTCGGCTTGTTGGGTTCCCAGCGAAGCCTGTACAGACCACCCTTTAAAGATCTGTGAATTCTTGTACCAAAAGGGCTCTCTAGTACCATTTTGCAGCTTCACAAAAGTTTACAGGTTTTACCTAAATGAGACCTGTCAGTTTACATGAACTAGCAAAAGAACTAGCAGGAAGTGCGAAATCCACCCCCCCCCCCCCCCCCCCCAATCCGAACAGCGCCTTTCTCTATCTGCTTCACTATGAGTGATTGTTAAATGTGTTTAATAAAAATTACTTCTTGTGTTTGTAGATGGTTGGCTGATTGTTTTTCAGCATTAGTGATATCTGAACAGTAGAGTTAGAAAAGAACAATCAATTTGATAGAAGCGTCCTTAAGAGAGCTGGAAATATACCGGTTTTTTTAGGAAAAAGGCGCTCAAAAACAAGTTTTTTTTGTACACTTGTAATCTCAATTGCTACCTCGGGTGGTGAACAGTTGTGCAATACCAGAAATGCAGTTTCAGGCTGAAGATTCATAAATTCAGAATGTCACTGCTTTTCCGAGTTGCAGTACGTGGTGTGTCCGGATTCACCGGCCCGCTATATGCGGCTCGTACATCGATCTCTTTTGTTCGAAGGAGCAATGTAGTGCAAGTTGCGTGAGTTTTACAAAACTGAATTTGAAATTCCTAGTAGTTCTAACTTTTTGGATATCGCGAAATGGTTTCCAAACCCAAGAGATAATTCGCAAAATAGTTCAAGTCTTGGGACTCGCACGCGGTAAGCCGCTTGGTCCGCTAAAGCAAGTCTTTTGAGGCAATATGAGCCTCTTGTTGGTTTTCCTTACGCTTCACGCCTCTTCTCATGGTCTAGCAAAGTCGGCCAACTTTCGAGCCTCCATTTCATTTTCTTCCAGTCTGCAGACCTATACAATTCCGGTGGTTCGCGGGCTTGGGGAGGGGGTCCCTCGTGCCTTGTTCATACGAATTGGCGCAGGCGCCATCTGGCACCACTATTCTTCTCATACCGATGAAAAGTTGTATAAAGGGGTTATTTGACATTCTGGTCAGAAAAATGGCATCGATTCTTGGCGCCGGCGCTAATGTAGGGCGCTCTGGTCATGTGCGCCCTGCTAAGGCAGAGCCTGATCTGAAGGAAGTCATTCACAGGCTCAGCCTTAGCAGAGCGCCTGATAGAGAGAGAGCTCGATATGGATGTCTCGTCATAAGGGCTCCGAGTCCTATGCGCAAAGTTTCGCAAAAAAATTACTTGGAGAGTGGTTCAATAGAGCCCTATTTTTGAAACTCGCTGTCTTTACCTAAGAGACCTTCTTGTAAAAGGCTGTTGCAGTCTGTTCTGTGTTGTCGGTTCAGGAAAACTGCAAATGTTGGAGTTGAAATGCCCAGACTTTGTTAAGAATTCATTTACATTGGATGGTAGTGTGAGGCAGCCTATGATCCAGCTAAACATGTTCATCGTTTAGAACCGAATCCTGATATTAGTTCAAGAATAAATTTGAAAGTGTCGCTATGCTTCCAAAATTTATGTTCAAGTGTGCTATCACTCCGAAATTTTATGAGCAGTAATTTTGAAATATCACAATGTTGTTCAAGGAAGGAGCCAATACGTCGATTTGGTATAGATGTGTCGGGCATGAACGATCGCCAGCGTAAGCGTGTAGGCTACTGGCTATTTCTATGCGCAGGGATGTGCTATGGAGCTGTTGCAATCGGCGGACTCACTAGGTAGGTTACAACATAAGATGATTTCATTTACCCTTTATTTGACTTCTTCCAATTATTGTAGATGGGACAGCATTACAGACTGACGGAATCTGGTTTGAGTATGGTGAACTGGGATTTATTTCGGACTATGAGGCCACCGTTGAGTCAGAAAGAGTGGGAAGAGGAGTTCGAACGGTATAAGCAGTATCCTGAGTACAAGTAGTGAGTCTATTAACCTTCCGATTGCTGGTACTTCAGTGGTGAGAAATTAATTTGCTATTCAGTAAGTCTTCAAATGAAGAGATGACTTTGGCACAGTTCAAATTCATTTGGAACATGGAGTATGGTCATCGCATGTGGGGTCGAGCCATTGGCATTGTTGGTATTTTCTCTCCATATCCAGGACATGGGGAAGGCGTGGCTGCGTAATTTGTGGCGGCAACTGCGCCTTTGGTGGGTTTTGTAGTCTCGGGATACTTAATTGTCTCGGGATAATTATGTCTTTACCTATGGCAATTGTTTCGAATAGGAACATATCACGCAAGACGCATTCTCCCTCATGTTCAAGTGGAGCACGCGGCCACGCTCCCTCTATTCGTGTATATGTAGTCTTCCCTTAGAGTTCACACGTTTTGATACACGTCTTTCAGGTTTTCTTGCTGCCCTGTGCCTATTTTTGGGCGCGTGGGTACTTCCCAACTACCATGAAGAGACGTATGGCAATCGCAACAGCTCTCATCCTTGCACAGGTTCGTTCCAATACCATTTGGAGTTTCGAAGGAGAGGGTTTGGACTTTATCAGGGAAACTTCTCCTTGGTTCCTTGGCTGAACAGTATGTGGATGACATGATTTAACCGCACTGGGAAATAGCCTTTTTCCGGGTACAAGCCGCCTTCTCTCTTGGAGCGCTGCAACAAACAAGCAAACTGCACATTCCGTTCCTTTCGGCGCTAGATGGCGCCGATCGCTAGCTTCGCGCTATCACCGCCATCCAGTCCAAATCGTACTCGCGATCAGAGCTATAAAAGCGTAAAGTATGAACCTGTTGTGGCATCAATGCGTTTAATTTCATGATTTATCGA